ATCTGCATGACTGCGGAGGAAGATTTTACCATGTGACTTACTTATCTGATTCATCAGATCAGCGCGCCGTAACAATACACTGCATATAAAGACTTCTATGTCAAGTACTATCAAGATTAGTCATGGATTGCTATAAATAATATATCAAGACACTTGATAAGCAAGGTAAGCAACACATGTTTATTGGGAGGATAGAGGAGCAACAGGGAGAAGAGTTTGAATACTGTTACTGGTTTTGTGCTATATTGCAAGAGAGGCAGTTGGGCATTATTAGTTGGGGCAGAGCTCTGTTGCAGAGACATTACATGGTTCATAGAGCGGTAATGGAGAGAGAATAGTTGGAACACATGCATTGGGAGGAGTATAGAATGGATGTTATCATTCTCTTTTGTTCAACCACTTTACGTCTGTCTCATTCATCCACTTGAGTAATGTTGATGTTTTATTAAATCTTCATTATCATTTTGCAGCAAATGAAACATCTTTAAAACATTCACTTGCTGAAAACAATAATATTATGTGGAAGCATATCACAAGCACATTTGAGACTGAATACCAGGGAGTTTTGCATTCTTTATTTGTTTACACCTACAAGACTGAATACCAGGGCATGGCTATCCAGACATTCTACAGCCAGTTAACCTTCTTCCATTCAGAATGGTGTCAAAACGAAAAACCTTATGTTCCTTACTTAACCATTATTCAAAACTCTGGTTCAGGTAAAAACAAGGCTCATAGGAGAGTTAGTAACTTGGGAATCTATGTTCTCTATATATGCAAACATCATAAGGATAGTAGTGGATATCCTGCTGGGACACCTTTTGTTCAGTGAATACTTGACAAAATTCGGGATCATGAATTTGACAAGCTTTTATCTGCAGCAATTCAAGTAATTTATAGCCGAATGAAAGAATATGCATGGGATGTGAAAAAATTCTGGGACATACAGATTAAAGCTGAGTATGAGGACAAGTGCATGAAATTTTGGGAAGACATTTTGAGCTTGTCGCAGCAAAATAGTCTCTCTTTGAATGTTAGCCAAGAAGATTTTGTAACAAAGCTATTTCCTGGAAAAGAGATTTCAGCCATTTGTTGTATTGATGAGGCACATGAATTGCTTTCATTGGCAGATGAACAGAGAGATGTTGAGACTTATTTTGTTCGATGGTGATGACAAATTTGAGAAATCCGTTGGGATGGCTTCTTCAGTGTTCTCCTTAGCACTAATGGGAAAATCAGCAATTTTCTTCCTCCTGTATCAAAAAACACTATTTCAGCCAGACAGAGTGTCAGCAGTTTTCTTTGTGAGGTGGCTGTGCTCCCTCACTGTGACAATAGAGCTCTGTAGTGTCGATGCTTAGTGATGAGGCCACTGACTTAGCCAACTTTA